TCTTCTGTCTAATGCTGAATGTTTCATCTCTCTGTTAATTTACTGTCTGTTTAAGATGTTTATTATTATTTTATTTACATTAAATCTGTTTCTGAATAAACTTTCAGTGCTGACGTCAGAACTTCTCTGGACATCAAACCGAGGTGAGTAACTTCACCACAGATCTATAATCTCAGATGTCACACAGTCAGTAAATCACTCCTCAGTTAAACACTGTTGTCCTGTTTACTGCCCCCTGCTGGACATGGAGGAATGTTTTCTTTTGCGTTTCAATGATAAAGTTTCCACTGCTCAGTTCACCTTTTTCTGTAACATTTTACATCTTGTTTGTGTTAAATCTAAAGTTTTACATGTTTTTCTTTCTGAACCAGAAACTGAAGAGCAAAATGAGGCTGAACAGTTAAATACATAATACATAAAATCAATGATTTAATGTATTTTCCTGGTTTCCAGCTGCTCTGACTGTGAGGCCCAGCAGATCTCAGTTCTTCCAATATGAATCTGTGGCTCTGATCTGTGAGGATGGAGGGACTGTGAGGAGAAACACGACCAGAGACACCAGAGCTGAGTGTGAGGAGTGGGGGAAACCAGTGAACTCTTCATGTACCTTAACTGGGCTCCTCCCATTAGACTCTGGCCTGTACTGGTGTGAGTCCATGTCTGGATCCTCCAGCAGCAGCAGCAGCATCCAGCTCTCTGTCTCTGGTAAGATCAGACTGTGGAGTTAGTGTTGCTGTGTGGAAATGGATGAAATGCTGTAGTTTGTCTCTGTGTTGAGGTGGATCAGTGATCCTGCAGAGTCCTGTCCTCCCTGTGATGGAGGGAGATGACGTCACTCTGAGCTGCAGAGCAAAGAGTCCAGCCCACAACCTCCCAGCTGCTTTCTATAAAGATGGCTCCTTCATTGGTGATGAAACTACTGGGAACCTGACCCTAAACCCAGTGAAGAGATCTGATGAAGGCCTCTACCACTGTAACATCAGCGGTCAGGGAGAGTCTCCATCCAGCAGGATCTCTGTGGAAGGTCAGCAGCTTCTCTGTTTGCTTCAACCTTCATCAGGAGACAAGAAATAAATTATTACTTTGATTCATTTCAGGGAGAATCACCTCCACTCCTCTTTCATCCTCCACTCCTCTTCCTCTCTCCATGGTCATCTCTCTCTCCTCTGTTGCTTTTCTGGTTTTCTTTGTCTTGTTGGTGGCCCTGCTGACTCGGCGCCTCTGCAGGAAGCCAGCAGGTAACTCCCCATCAGTTTTCTGCCTCCAGCAGCTTCCTGAACTCCTCCTCTGTTTACCCGCTCTGCGTCGTGCTGCCAGTTTATATAATGTGTTTTTTATTTTTAGCGGCAGGGTCGGGGGGTGGGGGGCAGCTTCAAGCCTCATCAGCAGTTTCTGGCTCAATATTGTGTTTGTGGTCAAAATGTGAAAGAAGCTGTGGAGTCGTTCGGCTTCCTGTTCTCGGCTCTACTTTTGTTTTTCACCTCAGAGACAAACATGATTTAACGCCTGAAGCTTCTGATCTCATCATGTTGGTTAGAAACGTTTTTATTGAGGTTCTGATGTTTAAACCAGCTGCAGAATCAGCTCAAGTGATTGTAGCTTTCAGTGGAAATCAGCTGCTCTAGGTTTTATTCTGTGGTCTAATCAAAGCACATCACACCTTCAGAATGTTATTGGTAAAGAAACCGAGTGACATTTTCCTTCTGCTGCACCGCTAGCTGCTACTTCCTTTAGTTTTCTCCTTCCTCTAATCTGCAGCCAGAGACGCAGCAGCTCTTTATTAGGAGAGCTGCAGACAGGAAGGTTTACATCAGGATGCTAATGCTAGCGTAGCGATAGCTGCTCAGAAACGGGATATTTGAACCAGAGGATGACTGTCTAAAATCAAACTGAGGTTGGAGCTAAAACAGAAATGTGTTTGTGGCTAAATATGGCTAACGTGGAGGCTGTTGAGCAGGGGTCCCCAAGCTACGGCCCACCTCCTCATTTGGTCTGGCCCCCTGAACAATACCAGAGAGCATTCAGAGTTTTTTTTCATATATATGTGGATTTTTCTTCAACCACCAGGGGGGGGTCTTGAGCAGATATGAAACTTAGTTTCCTTCAATGGAATATATACTAGTCAGTACCAGTCATCGTTTCGCTCACGGTTTTTTTTCCATTTGCATTCTGGGTAAAAATCTATCTACAAACGCGACTATGACGTCGGCAGTAACCAACCCCCCCACCCCCGTCAACAAAACTTTTCTAAGGTTTCTGTCTCGAAAAACTAAGACCGGCCCCTGACCAGGAAAGGGAACAGTCATGTGGCCCTCGCAGGAAAAGGTTTGGGGACCCCTGCTGTAGAAGGTTACACCATGATGGAGCGTCTCTGTTAGTTTATTACTTCTGATTTCATCATTTCTTGCTTGAGTTGTTATATTTTGGGGAATTTATTTTCTGATTTCAGAAACTGTCCAGCACTTTTATTTTTAACCAGTGGTGACAACTGCTAACTAAAACGTTAGCTGTGCTAACATGCTAAAGTGCTAATGTCCACCATGTTGATAAACATCACGTTTCATTTAGCATATCGCCCTCTACTGGATGAAATTCGTCCTTGCCCCCGTTCCTGTACGGGTTTGCTCTTTCTGAACTGAAACTGTTCCGGTTTCAGTTTTCTACTTGTTGAGTTTTGCTAGCTCTGTTTTAGCCTAATTGATGAACATCAGGAGATTTCAAACTGTTTAGCAATGCATTCTGGGAACAGGATAAACGTTGCTACAGGTGAAAATCGTAAGGACAGGAAATGAAACTGCTGCGTTAACAGACTTTCTCCTTTTCAAAATAAGAGCATGAATATAAATGTCAAACCACCTCAATAATCTTATCAGTCGAGAACCAAACCAGAGGAAATTATCACTTCAGAATGTATCTGTAAGAAATAATTTAGGGGAAGCTAAGTGAGATAAATGTTTCCTGTATTAACAAAAATACTAAAGCGCTAAACAAATAATTTGCTAACCTTTTAGCAGATTAGCAAAGTGTAACCACCACTGTTCTCACCGTTTTTACCTTTGGACAGTTGTTATAATGTGTTGCCATAGCAACAAGGAGAGTTGTTATGGCAAGTTTTATATATTTTTATATAAAACTGATCAGCTGATTAGCTTTTCAAAAACTCAAATAACATCTGAACTACAACCTGAAATCCCAGAGGAGTTTAAATGAAGCTTCATGCATGTTAGCTAACAACACGGCCAGACATGGAGCGGATGAGCAGAGGTAGCTAACAGCTGACGGAGAAACGCAGGTCATGAATCTCTGTTGCCTGGACGTTGAGCTGTTAGCATGTTAGCATGAGGCAGTCATGCTAACATGCTAACATCTGGCAGAGTAACACAGGTCATGAATCTCTGCTGCCTGGATGTTGAGCTGTTAGCATGTTAGCATGAGGGAGCCATGCTAACATGCTAATAGCTGACAGAGAAATGCAGGTCATGAATCTCTGCTGCCTGGACGTTGGGCTGTTAGCATGTTAACATGAGGCAGTCATGCTAACATGCTAACATCTGACAGAGTAACACAGGTCATGAATCTCTGCTGCCTGGATGTTGAGCTGTTAGCATGTTAGCATGAGGGAGCCATGCTAACAGCTAACAGTCAGATTCTTCAGATTAATCCAGTCAGGAAACAATTTCACTAAATATTCATAACTAACTCCTGATAGATGATTAATTTGAATCAGTAATAACTTCATCTCAGCAGTTGTCATCTGGTTCTTCTGCTGTAACCTCTGATTTCTAACCTTCATCATTTCGGACGTTTTATTGTTTTAACCTGTTTGGTTTGCAGACTCAGCAGCTGCAGAAGTTACTGAAGCTCCAGACGGATCAGCTTCATCTGCTGCTGGTCAGTTTATGCTTCATTTCCTGTTAGTTTCATAACCTCTGATCTGAAACCTGCTGACATCAGAACATATAATCAATAACTGATAAATCAGGTCAGATCAGAACCAAATGATGTTTCATTTATTTACCAGCAGTAACTGTTGTTTATTTTACAATATTTATATTCAGACAAGAAAATGTGTTTGAGCTAAAATGTTACATTTAGATGCAGGAATAATTTAACATTTAAATTCTTTAAACCAGTGAAAGTTTGTTAATTAAAATGAACTTGGAGTTCAGGTTCAAACAGTCTGATTACTTCCTGCTTTAAGCCTCAAATATAAAATATTCATCATGTTTTATTCTCCTAAACTGTTTGGTTTGCAGAAAGAGACTCAGCAGCTGTTTATTCATCGACACGGAGAAAAACACCAGAAGCAGCAGGTACAGCAACCTCATGATCTGGATTAAACCTGAACATTAAGATCAGGTTAGATCCAGATCAGATTGAATCCAGATTAAATCCAGATCAGATTGAATCCAGATTAAATCCAGATCAGATTTAATCCAAATTAAATCCAGATCAGATTGAATCCAGATTTAATCCAGATCAGATTGAATCCAGATTAGATTGAATCCAGATTAAATCCAGATCAGATTGAATCCAGATTAAATCCAGATCAGATTTAATCCAAATTAAATCCAGATCAGATTGAATCCAGATTTAATCCAGATCAGATTGAATCCAGATTAGATTGAATCCAGATTAAATCCAGATCAGATTGAATCCAGATCAGATTGAATCCAGATCAGATTGAATCCAGATCATATTAAATCCAGATCATATTTAAACCA